GAATCCCATTTGACTAAAAATTTGAAGTTTTATTTAATTAAAAATTTCACAATATTCTGACCTTATATCAAATTTGGAACAGCAACTCAGTCATGGCTCAGTCATTGAAAATTCCGAAATTGACTCTAAATGATTTTTGCAGAGTCGACTCAGCTATTGACTCTGACTCCAATGGCTAATACTACTAGTTTGTATACTAATTTATTTTAAATACTAAATAAATACATTTTACATTAGCTGAAATAGTAAATTTTACTTACTTGTTGATTAGAATGTAAAATATAAATATTTATACTTAATCGTAATTGTAGTGAGCAGTAATATTAATGTTATAATAATCAGCTTTATTTTCTACTATAAAATAATTTTTATCTACAATTTTTTTTGTTTTATACTAATTTTATATTTTAGTTATAATAATATTTTTCTAACTTAGCCTTAGTTAGATATTTTTTATATTTTATTAGTAAATTTTTTACTTCTTTCTTCTTATAGATATTATTCTATAAACTATTCTAAAAATTTTAATATATATTACATAAATCCATTCTTAGACTCATTCATAATTTGAATATAAGATGTTAATTAGTGATATAGCTTATAAAATGCATTATAATTTAATGAGTATAATATGTTATTTTATTTAAAACTTACAAGAAAGTTATAATAGATTGATTTATAGCTGGTTTTTACTAGTAAAAATATAGTGATTGGATAATTTAGTTGATATTTTTACTAGAATTTAATAATCTGTAAACTTCAGTATAATTCTTTAAAAATTCTTAATTACTTTTACAATATACTATTATTTATTATTTCACTATCTATTTTTTTAAATTAAACTATTAAAAATAATTTTTATCTGATTTAAATAAAACTTGATAAACTTCTCACATTTTTGCAAATTTTTTTTTTTGAAATTTTATTTAAACAATTATAATTATAATTATTTTTTAAAAAATTTATTGCTTTTCATATTCAGTAAAATTATTATATTTATTTTCTTTTATATATAATTTTATCATATTATTTGGTTTTAATATCAAAAACTAGAAATTTATAAAATTTAAGCAAAATATATAAATTTATTTATATAAAGTTAAGAATTAATTACATAATAATATGTTATTTAACAATATTATGTTAATGTTTATTTTTTCTCTTCAAATTTTCCATAACTGAGAGGATGTATGATTCTTATTTCATCTTCTTTCCAATTATCTCCTTCTTTTATATTATTAACTTTCCATTCAGAATCAAATGGAGAAATGTAAGAAGTTAAAATATCACTAAGAATTTCTTTAATACTATTAAATTTATAATGTGTAAGACCAAAGGTAGCCAAATGTAAGTAGTTATTAGATTCAAATTGACTATTACTACGAGTTGTTGGACCAAAAGGCATCTCCTTAAAGTGATAATTATATCCAAATTGCCAATATAAGCATAAACATGGTTCTTGATGATCCTTTAAATTGGAATCTTCAAAGACATAATTACAATGTAACATAGATTTAGCTGAAGCAGGATAATTTTCATCTGCTCTTGTGCTTGTAGTATTAATATTCTTGATTTGAATAATAATAAGACTATATTTATCGGTATCAGTTGCCAGTTTAACAGGAATACAGATATCTGCACCAGGATGATTTCGTTTCATAATAAAAGCACATCTTCTCTTATAAAAAACTTCTAAATCTTCTTTTTCTGGTACATAGTGAACTGCATTAAAATGTGTAAATGCTACTGATCCTTCAATAAATTCTCTTGAAAAATTATCAAGGTCTTTTGGTAAAGAATTATGATGATAAAGTTCTGTAAGAAACGTTTGAACTTTATTTACTAGTCCGTTTCTACTTAATTTATGAGCTACAACAGCAAGGATAATCCGACCAACGAGTTCTCCTCGAGGTCCAGGATCCACAAGACCCTTTTTGAGTGAAATACTAAACAACCATAATATTTTTGACAACATTAAATCTGACATAAATTCAAGTGCAACTTCTGATAGTAAAGGTTCAGAAGGATAAGCAACAATCAACCGTTCCCTATCTTCTGATATAGAAAGACAAGTAGCCATATGTGAAGCAACAAGTTCTGAGGCTAATTGAGATTGCGGTGACATTTCAAATCCTATCACAGAAGATAATATTGCCAAACTAGAAATTTCCTGCTTGCTACTTTCAAAACTATTTGCTCCACCAAGTAGTTTTCGCAAAAGAAGATTCTTAAGTTTATCCATGGCCTGAGGATCATCATTGCAACTTTTTAAGTATGAAATATACAAAGGTTGACCAAATTTAGCCAAATCCCAGGACACATTTTCATAAGTATTAGATTCGAAAACATCCATTGTAGTTATACGGAAATATGGATAAAACAATTTAAACGGTAAGTCTGAAGTATCATGGCTTGATGAATCTGCTGATTTTGGTGGTGCAAAGTTTGATATCATGCTAAGTGTATCCAAAAGCAATACAAAAAATCCACTCCATTTTATTCCTCTTAATGCCCTGCGAAGGAATCTAAAAGGTGAAATGCCATGCTTAACAGTTGGCAATATAAGAACTCTAGCCTCATCTATGCAAAAAAGTAAGCAAACGTTATTATTTTCGATGTCATTATTCGCAGTTAAGAAATTAGCTGAACTAATCAAGTTATTATGAGATATTGTTTTCCAGTTACTTGATCCGTTTTGAACCTTAGTCCATATTCTCTCACAAAATTCTGTATCCATTTGGTTATTCCAAAACTTTTCATTATTATTGTTACACACCGTTAATTCTTCTTTGAAACATTGAATAATAATCTGCAAAATATAGAGTAACCTCCATTCCTCTCCTTCATTTAAACCTTTAAGCACTCTTTCAAATAAGTCTGCACCAATACTTGTTCGCGGAGGATACCCAGTACTATTTGCATCTCGAAGACAAAGGTATATTGTAGGAGTTCTCTTAGCCACTTCTTTAACCAGTCGTGACTTTCCGTAACCCGAACTTTGGAATATTGTACTATATGGAACATAATCATGGGTATTACTCTTCCAAGTCTTGTGCTTACGGTTTAGATAAACCAGAAAATTCTTTATTATATTATTATTATCCACATATTCCACATCAAATGCGTTCCTGAAATTTTCTTTATGAATTTCAGATCCAGTATCTACATCTGGACCAGATAAAAAAATTTCGATGATACCTGATTGTTGTGCAGTTGTTAGATGTTGTGAACTAAGAGCTTGTTTATCTTTTCCCCGGAAGATGGTATTATTAGTGATAAATTGTGTAAGTGACTCTTTGCTTTTGATAAACTCGATAACTTCATCAAGTGAACCTATGCGTGGATGATCAAAGTAAAATTCCCTATTTCCAGGTGCTTTCACAATTAATTGTATTGTTTCTAATAGGACAAATGATGCATTTAGATGTGATCCATACATTTGACAAGCAAACTCATACATTAGGCAAAAAGTAGTAAAGTACATAAATTAAAGCAAAATAAATTGAAATATACCTTGAGTTGACTTCAACGCGGCTATCTCATCCCTCAATCTCTGTATCTCTTGATTTTCTGATGTGGTCATTAACGAAATTTAGAAACTCAATGAATGAGTAAAGCCTGCAATTGCACAAGAAAATAAGCAATAAACAAAATGGGAACAAGGACATACCCGGACGCGTCACTTTGACTGGATTGGTTCGACTGATATTGAACATGCCAACTAATTTCTTAAAGTCGTTATTGCAATGATCTTCAAAATAATTTTCATCAAGAGTAATAGAGTTTTCAGCTTCAATTGGACGCTTCAATTTGAGAATAAAGGTACTAGCAGCAATTTCAAGGCATTCTTTCGACTTTATTTCTTCACAGAAGTGAATAAGTTCATTTCCTGAAAGTTTTCTGACCATATTTGCAGCACGATTTTCGAACTTATACCAGATAGGATTATTTTTTAGGTTACCGATCATTTTGTTAAAGAAAAAGGAGAAAAGTTTTAAGTTGTATATCGCGCATAAAAGGCAGGGCCGATGATTTTTTGCGGCGCTAAATGATAAATTTTGTTTGATAAAAAAAAATTTTGTAGTTATCAAATTCTTATTAAATGATAGTAGCCGCAACGATCTACATTTAACTTATAAAATAAATCTTGCATCATTTTTTTCTTAATTGAAAACCTTTACCTTCGGTTTATAAATGTAAACTTAAAAGAACTGAGCGCTACACTATCCCATGTATTCTATTTTTATTTTAATGATTTAATGAATATAGATTCACGTTAGAAAATGATATGTATAATGATTTAAATTTATTTAAATATGGTAAAATATAATCAATTTACTCCAATATTACATGCGTATAGCTAATAGTAAATTTTTTTTCTTTCGAAAATATGTAAATAAAATGCTACTAATAGAAATATACAAATATATAATACAATACTAATAATTGAAATATACAAATATGTAATAAAATACTACTAACAAATATGTAAAAATACTAATAATTGAAATACTAATATAGAACAGTTAAATTCATAATAAATACAGCTTAAATAGAGATACAAGAATAAATGTAACACGAAAATTATCTTTCATTTAATGTTTACATGATAGAACAAGCTCCTGTACCATCTTTACTTGGGATTTCTGTAGTTCCGGCAGAAATGGTAGATGGTTTAGCGACAACAGTAGTTGGATTCATTGCTTTTTTTTTTTAGGAAGAAATCTTTGAAATTGATATTTGAGATATTTTGTAACTAATAAATTTGAAGAAAGTTTGAATTACGTGAAATTGTGAAATTTACAAGTTTTGAGTATTAGAATACTTTTTAATATAGAATGTGATTTGATGCTGTTGTCGAAAAGTTGCAAGCTGATTAATTTATACATTTTTTTTTTTTTTTTGCGACCGATTTACATAATGACCACAAATTGTAAAGATTTACGAATATGGGTGACCAAATCTAAAAATAACCAAAAAGCTATTGTTACTTTATAATTCTTTCAATGTTGTTAATGTTGTTTTACGAATATCTCTTTTCATATTTTTAATTTTTTATATTTAAACATTTTCTAATATATTATAATGTTCCTAAAAATCAATTTTCAGTATAATAAAAAGTAATATTAAATATTGTTTCTTTTTATTTTAAGCAATTAATTTTTAAGTTGTTACTGAATGTTATAAAAATAGATTTAAACTTTCTCGTACGAATATTTTAATTATAAAAATTAAATTGTTTTACTAATACTTGAATTGAAAATTATTATTTGCATTATTTGTCATTAAACAGATTTTTTTTAAAAAAGATACCGTTTAAACTAATAAAATCATTTATTGTATAAAAACTTCTTAAAATGATAAAAATTTGCGTAATCATTATGGTAATATAAATAAAAATTTACTCATAAATTCGAAAACAAGAAGGTCATTGTAGGTAACTCGGTCATCCCATGCTTTGAAATTGTTCTTTGAGAAAGCTGCATTGAATTTTAATAAAAGTTGAATTGTGAATTTGTTCTTACAAAGCTCTGTATATAGAGATACTTTGGATATTGTTGTAATGTTGACCACATTACAGGATCGTGTTTGCATTTTTAGATTAGGTTGATAATTTTTAAAAAAAGTAATAAAAATAAAAAGAGTATATTAAAATAAATGCTCATACCTATTATTCAACATCGTACGAAAAAAATAAAAAATAATTGTACAAAAAAAAAAAAAAAATTCTAAAAGTAACTCGATACCAAAAGAGAACGGGAAACAAGGAACTTATTAAACAAAACAAAAATTAAATTAAATAAACTTTACCTGCGTTCCATTCATTTCTCATTATAATAACTTTAAGCAACAAATATTTTATTTAGAAAATAATTTCAACAAATTATTTTATTATTTTCTTAATTAAATAAGTAAACATCCGATAAAAAATCCGCAAAGAAATTTCATTAACAACTCGATACAATATGGTAACAAAAATATAATATAAATTAAGCAAACATCATTAATTTTTGTCCATATAATGCTTTAGATATTTTCTTTCTTTATCTAAATATATTTTTCATGCTTTAATATAATTCTACCAACTTTTTAAACTTTATTATTCGAAAGTTATCTAATTGTGTTCCAATCAGAAAAATTCCTATAGCCATGAATAAGAAATTTACTAATGCATGTAAAGTTATTATTAACCAAGAGTCGGGAAAAGTTAATTGAAGAAAATATCGTGACGACAAAAATAACAAATTGGATGGAAATGATTTACTAACCTTATTAATAAAAAACAACAACACAACGAAGAAAGTTGACAAGTAAGTATCAGTTATGGTTACTGCGCAAAATAAAAATATAAAGATTAATTGCGATAAATCTTAATTATTTACCCTATAAAAAATTTTTAAGAAAAATGATCACGTGTCTGAGGTTCTTCGGAATAAAAACTAGAAAAATGATCATTTATCGGAGCTTTTTCCAGAATTTTTTTATAGGGTTACTTACCTTTCTCTTTGGACATTTTTAGATCATGACAATGAAATAAGACTACAAGTAATTCATTAAGTTGGGCCATTTATTTCCTTGCAAAACATCCACGCGAAAAAGATTTTTGCGTGAAGGAATATTTAAATAATATAACTAAAGATTAGTTCCGCCAGGTATGAATGAATCTTTTAAATTATATCATTATATTGATTACCTTTGTAACTTTTATTATAGTAATTTGTACTCTAGATTAATACCGAAAATACGAAACTTATTCTTTAATTATTAGAATACTCAAATTGATGTATGCCAAATATGATTTTTCAAAAATATGTTCAGATTTATCAATTCATTTTTTATTTTTCCCCATATATTCTACTTTTATTTATTTATTTATTTATTTTTTTTTAATGATTTAAAAAATATAATAGATTCACGTTAGAAAATAGCTTCTTTTCTTTAATATGTATAATGATTTAAATTTATTTAAATATATCAATAAGTAACTAGCTACTCCTATGCGTAAGCTAATAGTAATTTTTTTTCTTTCTATACCTGCAATGCTAATATTACTTACTGAACCTTAATCTTCATTGTAAAACGAACGGAAGGTTACTCCACTAGTTCTTACATAGGGAACCAATTGAAATAGAATAAAATAAAATATACAAATATGTAAATAAATTGCTACTAATAGAAATATACAAATATATAATACAATACTAATAATTGAAATAACAAATATGTAATAAAATACTACTAACAAATATGTAAAAAATACTAATAATTGAAATACTAATATAGAACAGTTAAATTCATAATAAATACAGCTTAAATTGAGAGATACAAGAATAAATATAATACGAAAATTATCTTTCATTTTAATGTTTACATGATAGAACAAGCTCCTGTACCATCTTTACTTGGGATTTCTGTAGTTCCGGCAGAAATGGTAGATGGTTTAGCGACAACAGTAGTTGGATTCATTGCTTTTTTTTTTAGGAAGAAATCTTTGAAATTGATATTTGATATATTTTGTAACTAATAAATTTGAAGAAAGTTTGAATTACGTGAAATTGTGAAATTTACAAGTTTTGAATATTAGAATACTTTTTAATATATAATGTGATTTGATGCTGTTGTCGAAAAGTTGCAAGCTGATTAATTTATACATTTTTTTTTTTTTGCGATAATGACCACAAATTGTAAAGATTTACGAATATGGGTGACCAAATCTAAAAATAACCAAAAAGCTATTGTTACTTTATAATTCTTTCAATGTTGTTAATGTTGCTTTACGAATATCTCTTTTCCATATTTTTAATTTTTTATTGGTAAACATTTTTTAATATATTTTAATGTTCCTAAAAATCAATTTTCAGTATAATAAAAAGTAATATTAAATATTGTTTCTTTTTATTAATTTTTAAGTTAGTTACCGAATGTTATAAATACATTTAAACTTTTTTTCGTACGAATTTACTAATTATAAATAAAATTTTTTTTAATGCTAAATTTAAAAATTGTAATTGTCATCAAACAGTTTAAAAAAAAAATTGTCTTCCAAACTACCTAAAATATTCATTTATTGTATAAAAATTTCTTGTGCGAAAAATTTGCGTAATCAAGATTTTTTTTTTATGGTGATATAAATAAAAATTGACTCGAGTATGTAAATTCGAAAAGAAAAAAGTCATTGTAGATATGAAATTGTTCTTTGAGGAAAGTTGTATTGAATTTAAGTAAAGATTGAATTGAGAATTTGTGTTCTTAAAGAGCTCTGAGTATTGGAGAATACTTTTGGATATTGTTAATTTGACCATACTAATAGGAGCGTTTTTCATTTAACATACAGATTTAGGTTGATAATTTTTAAAAATTACATTAAAAAACTAAAAAACTAAAAAAGAGAATAAATGCGCCTATCTAATATTTAGGTTAAAATTGAATTTACTGTATAACTATTTTTTATTTTTAACAAGAGTTACTTATTATATCAAAATCATTTGGAACCATTTAACATCCTACTATTATTATTCAATAACGCACCAGTACAAGATAATTGAAGAAAAAAATTAATTAAAAAAAAAAAAAAAACAAAAGAAAATGGGGAACGAGGAACTTATTAAGCAAAAAAAAAAATAATGTAATATAAATAAAACTTAACTCATTCCATTCCCAATTCTCATTATAATAATATAAGCAACAAACATTATTTTTATTTTTTTTAAAATATTTTATCATAATTTCAGTAAGTAAACATCCTATAAGAATGCGAAATGTATTATTACATTTCGTAACAAAGAAATTTATTAATTAACAACTCGATACATATGGTAACAAAAATAAATGTAAGCATATACATTAAAGCTTGAGATAATGCTCCTTGCAATTATAGTTTAATTCGAACAACCAACTCGATTTTACGGATAAGATAATATTAATGCCGAATAACAAATTCGATGACATTTAGATTTATTATAATATTTAAATTTTAATCAAATCAGGATTTCAAACGCATACATACAGCGGAAGTTCTTTTTTTAATAAATTCATTATGCAAACTTTTCGTTTAGTGTAGTTTCAATTTCAGACTTGGTAAGGTCAGTTAGAAGTTAAGGCAGTGATGGCAAATGACCAGGTCATTTGACTAATTTTCAAATGACCCGAAGTCATGTCAAAATGACCTTGTTCATTGAGTCATGAGTCATTTGCAAATGACTTGAATTCTAAATGACAGCGAATCATCCACGGATAAATTTCACAAAT